AATTGGGGATGTGAGAAATTGGGGATGTGAGAATTTGGAGATGTGAGAATTTGGGGATGTAGGAAATTGAGGATATGAAAATTTGGGGATGTGGGGAATTCGGGGTGTGAAAATTTGGGGATGTGGGGAATTGGGAATATGAAGAATTTGGGAACGTAAGGATTTCGAGGAAATAGAATATTGAGGGTGTAGGGATTTGGAAAAATAGAAATTTTGAAATTTGAAAATTTAGGAAGCTTGGAATTTGGAAAAATAGAGATTTGGAGTGCAAGAATTTGAACGAATTAAATTACAAAAATAATACCACCCCTCCACACAACAATTCCTCCAAAAAAGCCAGCCTCCCCAACTCCATCATCAACACATCTTTAAATATTCCTGAGACTTCCCGCGAACAATAGAATACTTGCTTCTCCAAGTTTCGATGAAGAAGCAAGGTTATCCAAGAGAACAGAAAGTCGCCGTTTACGAGTTCGACGAGTTATCCGGACGAAAAATTCAACGGATCTTCTTTTGACCGTTGCTTTCGCGGACGCAGAACCACTTCCGGTCGAGCGACTCTCTGCAAACGAGTTTTCGAGTCCCGACGGTGAGCAAAGAGGATCGCGAAATTCCACAGGTGCCCTCTGCCGTGCCACGGCAACCTCTTCAATTTTTCCTTTTTTTACCACCCTCTCACTCTCTCACTCTTCTTTCTCCTTTGTACAGTTTCGATGCTCTCTTTGCACGACCTTTGCTGCTCTTTACCGTGCACCGAGCAACGAGCACGTTTCAAGAAATTCAAAGACTCGTTCGGACGAGAACTCGGGTTAGCTGCTTTCTCAGAAGGATACGCGAGGAAGAAACTTGTTTGGAGAATCATCATCCGGGCTCAGACAGCGATTAGAAAGAGCTTTCCAAGCTCCGAGCATTTTGCGGAAAAGATTGTTTCGTTTGTTCAGGATTTTCAGCAATTTAGAAGCTTTATGTTTGTTCGCTCTGATCGTTGCTTGTTTGTTAGACAGATGTTTGATAGATATATTAAATAGAGTTCACTTTTCGTATATGAAATAAAATATACACTTAATTGTTCATATATGAAATATAATATACACTTGATCATTCACGTATGAAGTAGTATATACACTTGATCGTTCATGTATGAAATAGAACATACACTTGATCATCCACATATGAAGTAGTATATACACTTGATCGTTCATATATGAAATAGAACATACACTTGATCATCCACATATGAAGCAGTATATACACTTGATCATCCACATATGAAATAGTATATACACTTGATCATTTACATATGAAATAGAACATACACTTGATCATCCACATATGAAATAGTATATACACTTGATCATTCACATATGAAATAGAACATACACTTGATCATCACATATGAAGTAGTATATACACATGATCATTCATATATGAAATAGAACATACGCTAGATCATCTATGTACAAAATAAAACAAGCACTTAATCATTTATTGAACGTTGAAATATATCAAACAGCACAAAATAAAATAGAATTTTGAATGCAGAGAAGAACAGTGACATAAGAGGTTATAGAAACGTGAGAGAGAGATATAAGAATAAGAAGGCAAACAGACGAAACGAACGGAAACACGTAATTCACGCGACACGCAGAAATTGTTTCGAAGCTGGCCGGGTATGAAACGGTCTGGTGAACGCCGCAAACAACTGCTTCGAGAATTGGGTAAATAGTAATAACAGTGGAAAGTTTCGACTTGATGGAATTCGCCGGGCGGAGTGCACGCGGCATTACCACTGAATTATGCACGTCGCCTCTCAAACGTCTCTGAAGATGCTCTTTCGCTCGTTCTCTGGCCCGTCCTCCTCCTTTCTCGGCCGGTGGTTTCAGACAGGAAAGAAGCTGGATGGAGGGGACAGAACGAGACAGACAGAGGGTTCTTTCGGGGAGAATATTCAGCGACGAAACGGAATGCAAACGGACGAGCCGAAACGTAAACCTCGCGACGTTTTCGAGAAAGGGGAAGCATTTGCTTAGGTGCACTTAACGTGGCTGTGAAACGCGTGTACCGTGCTTCCGGAATTTCGCCGTCTACGCGGACCAGAAACGTCCTGACAGATTCTTAACTCCGTGGATATCCTTCGCTGGGGGAATAATCAACCTGTAGTTTGCGATCGCACGATTCTGAGGTGCATTTTCGTGTGATCAATTATGGGGGTTTAGGGATTTCAGAATTTGTGGTTTGAGAATTTAGCATTTGAGCTTTTAGGAATTTGAAAACTAGAGGATCTGAGAATTGGAGTATTTGAAAGTTTGAAAATTTGGTCCATTTAATATACAATGATCAAGTCCATATTCTACTTCATATATGACTGATCAAGTATATATTCTACTTAATACATAAATAACCAAATACAATTTTGTCTAAAAAATCAAAAGTCCAAATATATATTGTCTAAAAGTTCCAAACAAAGAAATTAATATCCTCAAAATCGCTTCCGCGTGTAACTCGTATCGGTAGGAAGGTTAGTTTCAGACGGACAGTAGAATTAGTTCGTGTATGGTCAGCCAATTGCTCCCACGAACTTTCGACTATTATCGCTATTCGCCGGACTGTTCCTGCTCCAGCGGCAATAACTTTCTCGTTGCTACACACCTGCATGTGACATTGCAACGACTGTTCCTGCTTCCTAAAAGATCGTCATTTGCCACGCTCGCTTGAACACTCGCCTTTAATTACCGATCTTAACCTTGCTATTCTTCCGCGATCAACGATACCGCATTCCCCTCTAACCTTGCGGCAAACTCATACTGAAATTGATTAATTGATTATTTGGAGAGAATAATACGCGTATATGTATTTTGAAGAATAGTGTAATTTAAGAATGTTTATGTTGAAGTTGTAGTTCGATATCAGATGTCGATATTGTGTTAACATTATTATTTGTGTACATTTACGTTGAAGTTATAGTATAAAGTTAGAGTATAAAGTTAGAGTAATACCATGCGCCGAAATTCCACGCGTGGTAGTACTATGCACCGAAATTCCACGCATGGCGATATAACGCGTGATAGTACCATGCGCCGAAGTTCCAAGCGTGGCGATATAACGCGTGGTAGTACTACACACTGAAATTCCACGCGTGGCGATGTAACGCGTGGTAATACTACGCGGTGAAATTCCATGCGTGGCGATATAACGCGTGGTAGTACCACGCACCGAAATTCCACGCGTGGCGATATAACGCGTGGTAGTACTACGCGTTGAAATTCTACGCGTGGCAATACAACGCGTGGTAGTGCCATGCGTTAAAATTCCAAGCGTGGCGATATAACGCGTGGAAGTATTACGCGTCGAAATTCCACGCGTGGCGATATAACGCGTCGAAATTCCACTCGTGGCGATATAACGCGTGGAAGTATTACGCGTCAAAATTCCACGCGTGGCGATATAACGCGTGATAGTACCACGCATCGAAATACCACGCGTGGCGATATAACGCGTGGTAATCTTACGCACCGAAATACTATGCGTTGCAATATACCCCATCTAATTAATAAACGCGCGATTAATAAATTCTCTAAAAAACGAAGAAAGTAAAACTTATTCTGGAAGAATGCGCGCAATCTCGGTTACAAGTCCGTTATTATTTCGAAGAGGCCTGGAATGCATTAATTTACGCGAACGCTACGCTCAAAATTCAACTTCACGCCCATGGAACGGAATCATTCCGGAGGAATTAATGCGGCCGCCTCGTCGCAGACTCCTAATTGCAATTACAAGCTTCAGCTTGAAGCAACAAACGTAAACAACAACAGGCTGTGGTTAAGTAGTAACAACAATACTGAATCAAAACCTGCGGGTTCGTTCCCAGTGAAATATCCCTGGTGACGTGACGAGACGCGACACTGACTAATATCGAGGTTCTTCTACTAGTTTCGTTGTTTTCCTTCGCATCTGTTTTCTCCGTATCGTATTCTAATATTGTATTCCTTCGGAAGTTTAGCGTCTCGAAGCTTAGGGATTTGAGACTCTTGAAAGTTCAAGTATATTGAGACTTTAGAAATTAGTGAAAGATTTGAGTGTCAGTTTTAAATTTGAATGAAAAGAGGTTTGAAAGAGTGAGGCTAAATATAAATCCAGAAACGTGTCAAGTTAATTGAACGCACTGCGTTAAGCTACTGCGTGCGAAACAGGGTTGCAGTCAATTGCACGTTGAAGCATAATTGGATCGGCAGAGAAAAGCGGATTCTTCTTGAACAAGTAACACATGAAGCTAGAGCTAAGTAGGACTGAACTCCCTCCTTCGTTCACACTTGACCCGATTCTACTTAAACCAGAATACCAAGTTCAGTTCGTGCTACTTATTCAAATTCCAGCCACGTTATTTAAATCGTCAAAGGGTGACCAACATCGACGACGTTTTCAAGCGCTTTCGAAACTGCTGTATTCCGCCATTACATCCTGACGGTCTCATTAACGCGTCACATATTCCGCAAAATTGCTCCTTCTTTCCTGCCAGCTCGAAATGTAACTCGTTTCCTTTGCACGGTCGGTTTGAACGACACGCGCCATCTTTCTGTGCGCGCGTGTGGGTTCGCTCTTTGGCAACCGATGCGTAAATCGTGAGGTAAGCAAACCACCTTGAAAAGTGGAATCGTAACCGGAGTATTTAGACGTGTCCGATGTAAATCGTTAATTTAAGAGGAGAGAACCAGTCGGACTTAAATATTGACTTTCCTTAGTTAACGCGAGTCGCTCTCAGCGACAAGGTCGCCTGTGTATTCAGCCATGCTTGGACCAGACTGCCTTTGCGAACAGGAAACACTACGAACACTGCACGGAACTAAATGAGTAAAGGGACACGCAAATGAATGCATTTCGACCTCGCTACAGTCTTCTGTCAACGAACGCCAATCATCCAATTTTAATTACTTTCCGCATCGAAATTGAAGCTTATTTTATTTTAAACTATTCTTGACATTCTTGCTGGACATTTTGGATGGATGATTTTGGAGGGGGGACATTTTTAGGATATATTGAGAAACTTTCTTGTGGACATTTTTTTAACTGAAGGGGTATTTTGTGAAATGGAGGCTTCATGAGTGAAGACTGGTTACTGAGATTTTGGTAGGGGAGGAATTTAATAAACATGTTTTAATGTTGCATGTGTGTATGATCAATTAACTGTCTGACTTATGTATAGAGACATTCAATTTGTAATTCAATTTTTGTTATAATAGTGTATAATGATATAGCTGATGTGGGAATTCATGTACTATGTCTTCATGTGCTATAATGCTATATTTTAATGTGATGGTCTGGTAAGGTCATACTATAACTTCGTACTACCTGTATAACATTATACTTTAGCTTTATACTATAACTGCATAGTATAACATCATACTCTAACTTCATACTATAACTTCATACTACAACTTCATACTATAACTTCGTACTATAACATCATACTCTAAGTTTATACTATAACTGCATACCATAACATCATACTCTAACTTTACACTACAACTGCATACTATAACTACATACTATAACTTCATACTATAACTTCATACTATAACTTCACACTATAACTTCACACTATAACATCATACTCTAACTTCACACTATAACTTCATACTCTAACTTTATACTATAACTGCATAGTATAACATCATACTCTAACTTCATACTATAACATCATACTCTAACTTTATTCTGTAACTGCATACTATAACTTCATACTATAACTTCATACTATAACTTCATACTATAACATCATACTCTAAGCTTATACTATAACTTCATACTATAACATCGTACTCTAACTTTATACTATAACTTCACACTATAACATCATACTCTAACTTTATACTATAACTGCATAGTATAACATCATACTCTAACTTTATACTATAACTTCACATTATAACATCATACTCCAACTTTATACTATAACATCATACTCTAAGTTTATACTATAACATCATACTCTAACTTTATACTATAACTGCATACTATAACATCATACTCTAACTTTATACTACAACTGCATACGATAACTTCATAAAGTTCAATAAAATTTTTGTGACATAAAATGTGAAGCTTGACATTTCAACTGTTTAATAGTTCTATCGTTAAATGGAGTTGCAAACGAGAATTTTTAACGAGGTACAGCCTTGACGCTTCCGCATCGTCGACTAAAGGGAACAGTGAATTTTCCGGAGGTCTTTTTCTAATCGTTTCCATCGCGCAGCTTCATCGGAACTCGTCGACGCGACGCCAAAATCCGGCAAGTTCCATCGAATTGAACGAGGCACGTTTCGCGATTGTTTCCCGTTTTCGAGCACCAACACGCGAACCCGCCGTTAAGTCACGTACGCTGGGCGTGTCCGTAAAACCGCACTCGAAACTCGCGAGAAGCTCCGACTAAGAAACCGCCCCTCCTTGAATTTAATTCAACGCCACCGTATAATTTATTGGGAGTCGATTGGGAGCGTCGACGAAGTTACGGTTGGAAATTACGATCGAAAGGATTAGAATCGGATCGATATACCCGGTGACTCTTGCGATCTTTCGTAGGGGGTGAGAATAGATAAGAAGGGTAGAGAAGTTTTGGTGGGTTGGAAATATTTTTCGAAGCTTGGTGTATGATGGACGGACTTATTGTTAGATTGGACCGTGTTCGGAGATTTTTTTAATTCATAAATTTGTAAGTTTTCGAACTCGCAAATTGTCAAATATGGAAATTGAGGAATCTTCAAATTCACACAATTGTGAACTTTCAAATTTGTACGATTTATACAATTTGACTATTTGGAAACACTTAAAGTGACAAATCTTTAAATCTAAAAATGTCTTCATCTTCAGATGTCGAAATTTTGAAATTCTCAAATGTGTACAAAAGCTAATTTAAAAATTTGCATAACTTTCAAAATTTCAGAGTATCCACTAGATTAACTTTTGGCGTTATACTCTCATAAATGGTTCTTTTACAAGCTAAGCTATTAAAGGGGTCTGTGTATAATCGCGATAAAATTATAACGTCCGGTAATAGAACGGCTTGCGAAAAGAATAGCGCTCGTTTGGTTGACCAACAGCCGGGAAAAGCTGAGAAACTGGTGGATTTAATAAGTCGTAATGCCGGACCTCGTTCTTGCACCACACCGTCTCGGATATTCGACCGTTCCACATCGTTTCACCTTTTTAACGATTTCATCGCGATAATAACGATTCCCGCAACCACTTCGTGGTTCAACTACCTTCACGACAATGTCCTGCTTGTTAGAAAAGAAAGTGGGTTATTGAAGAGAATTTTGAGAAGCTTTTATACAACGGGACGGAAAATAGGAAAAGGGACGAAGATAATTTTATCTGCTGAATTTATATTACAAATTTTATCAATTTCTTGAGGGAGTCCACGCGTGGCGATATAACGCGTGGTAGTACCACGCATCGAAATACCACGCGTGGAGATATAACGCGTGGTAGTACCACGCATCGAAATACCACGCGTGGCGATATAACGCGTGGTGATACCACGCATCGAAATACCACGCGTGGCGATATAACGCGTGGTAGGACTACGCGTCGAAATTCCACGCGTGGAGATATAACGCGTGGTAGTACCACGCATCGCAATACCACTCGTGGCGATATAACGCGTGGTAGTACTACGCATCGAAATTCCACGCGTGGTAGTACTACGCGTCGAGATACCACGCGTGGTAGTACCACGCGTCGAAATTCCACGCGTGGCGATATAACGCGTGGTAGTACCACGCATCGAAATACCACGCGTGGAGATATAACGCGTGGTAGTACCACGCATCGCAATACCACTCGTGGCGATATAACGCGTGGTAGTACCATGCGCCGAAATACCACGCGTGGCGATATAACACGTGGTAGTACTACGCTCCGAAATTCCACGAGTGGCGATATAGCTTGAGTAAATCCTTGATGAAGCTGTAAGTCATGTTGACATAATACATGCAGACAATAACCTTCTTACATTAACATTCTAATTAAATACCAGACTTACAAACATTATAAAAATCAGCCAAGAAATAAAACTAAAGTGTACGAAGCACTAATCTGGAAGCACTTCACCGGCGCCAAACCCCGAGATTTCTGTCGACTCTGACTGACTCTCGGTCAGATATGATCCATCACCGATTAATAAAAAGCAATACCTTCTACACGATAAATCTATTAATCCGTCTCTAATCAATCAGAGTCACAACAAACGAATTGACAGCCTCGGTTCATTCGTTCGAAAATTCGCACGAGAGGTGTTTTAATCCCCCTGTTCGAAAACTCGCAGCTAAATCTTTGATTATCGCGAAACATAAAAATGCCGGACGAGGGTGTTATTATTTTATCGTTCGTTCCATGGACAGGTCTCGGTTTTGATGGATCATCCTTGACATCCAACGTAACTGGGTCAACCATAATCTCGTCGACATTCGACAGTATATTTGGGATATTATGTTGATAGAGGGATTATTTAAATGAAACCCGTCTGCTGATAATAAAAGCGGCCACATTTCGATTTCTCCGGAGAAATATGAAGAAACGCAGGATATATCGCCGGGAACGTCTTTCAGCAACGATTTATCTTCGCTCGTTTCGCGTGCCTCTATCTGAGCTTTCCATTCGATTGACTTATACGGATCGATCGAGATTCTTTCTGCTGTCTGATTTCTGATTATTCTCGGTGTTTCTATATTTGGCGATAAAGTAGTAGGTGGGATTTGGGGAATTTCGGGATCTTGTTTGCGGATTTGGGACTCTGGGGAGTTGGGACATTTAGGATTCGGGATTTTTGTAGTTGGGGAACTTTGGGGGTTGGAAATAGGG